GTGGTTACAGCCTCTCTCATGTCCAGTATTTTGCCATAGTGAACCAAAAACAAGATAAAGGACATGAAGAAACTTGGGAGACGAAGGGTTTGTTTGTGGAAATGGTTTGAGGAGTGTCAATATGCACAAGTCATCCAATTGTCTCATCAGTACCATGTACCATTTTTGTCTAACCGTTATTCCTCGATAAAACTTAAAAATCACCACCACGATGTGGCTCTGTCATGTGTCCACTTGACTAGACTGAACAGTTTCCAGAATTCCCTTTTCTGTTTCCCATTAGCATGGACACAGAGAATTTGTTGAATGACATTGCGGGTAGACGGACACAGTGGACGCAGGTCATGTGCATGGGGCGACATTCAGCAACAACCTCCTTGGCACGAGCGAGGAGCGACTGGGCTTCTTAGTGCTGGGCCTCCTGGGTGGCCCCGCACCTGTGGTTCTTCAACCAGCCTCTCTGTCGGTGTCCTGCCTTCCACATGACGCCCACACCACAAAGTCAACCCATCAGGAACTGACACACGTTATGTCTGTCTTGGTGGCTCCAGATTATTCTTGCCCTCCTCAGCCTTGTTCACCTTCCCTCTGAGTTGCCTGCCCTGTCTCTTCAGGGAAGTTCAAACTCCAGCACTAGATGTGAAGACACGGTCTCGGGGAGAGGCTTGGCTTCTTGGCCAGCTCCAACGGGAAGAGGAAAGAGAAGTATGTGCTGTGTGTGTGTAGACACACACTTCGCCTGTTGCTCCCCGACTGAGTCCCACTCATACAGAATCTAGTCCTGGGAGTGGCTCCAGAGGAAAAGAGCCTTCAGGGTAAATTCTACAAATCAGATTTGGGTTCTCTTGAGTTGGTTCTCATCACAGTAGACTGAAAGGCACACATGACCTGGCTTCTAGCGTGAATAGGTCAGTAGGAACCCATAGGATACTGTGACAAAAGCTGAGAGCGAGCAATGCTCCGGGAAGCCCAGCATTTGATGACTTGGTATACTTTAGTGGAATAAGGAATATAATGGATTGGCTTGTTGCTTTCTGTGTAGAGGAACTGGGGGGAAGGGAAATGATGAGCTCAGGGCCTTAAATTCCCGGCTCAATGTTGGCTTCAAGGACCCAAAACCTTCCTTGAAAGAAATCCTTGTCTCTTGTAGCCAGAGAGATTTCTAAAAATCAAACCAACGGTGTATCTTGCACATGGTTGAGCTACAGCACTAATTGAATCCTCAAGACTAGTCTCTTGTGGAAGCTGGGATCTTAAATGTAAATTAATGAAATCTGAAGACTGGGAGGTCATATGGGCTGATTCTGATTAAACTGGGCCCCTCTAACACCCAAGTCCCACTGAACACTCTTTAACAGTAGGAGCACCTGTTCCGACTCTGTGAGAGGTGAGCCCCTTTGACCTCTGGTGGCTGCAGTCAGGCTCTGAGTGAGAAGTTGAGCTTGACCCATGAGTAGATACAAGAAAATGGAACAAGCTGCATGGTTTCTCAATATGCTGACTGAAATGAAGGGATTTGTATCAGGATGCATAAATAATTCTTAAAGTGCAATAGTTAAAACAGTCCACTATTTTTTTTTAAAGGGAGCCTTCCCTGATGGTTCCTGAAGCTCGCCCACAGCCGCTTCATCACGAGTTCAATGCCCAGCCAGGAAGCTGACCCACATGGCGTGGCAGACCTCTCCTGACCCGCCTGCTGCTCCCTTCAGCAGTGCACTTTGTCCATCTGCCTGGTCACAGCATAGCTGCCCCAACCCCCCAGTAAATGCACAGTGTTGATATGCACATATGAAAAGCCATAAGTAAACCTTTCCTTTCCATGGCGGTTTCCCTCCGGCAATCCCGAACTTGGTAAAACAATCACCCAAAAAGAGGCCTGGGCCCCCGTGCCGCATCTGAGGGAAGGCCGGGGCCACCAACACCTACAAGACACACAGACAAAATGACTTAGACGAGAAACCCACTCTCCTCTGAGGATACTGTCACCGGGGT